ACGACACCAAATATGAGTTGAATTTGGTTTGGATTTCAATTAATTACACAAAAAGTTAATTAAAAAACTTAATTATGTTTTAAAAGTTTATTAAAAGTTTTAATTTACAGTTCATTTTGTGCCAAAATTTTATTATTTTTTGTTTTCATTTCAAACATTTCATTACAGTTTGCAGTCATTCAGACATTACGTCAAAATGACGCAAACTTTTTGCTCAATTTTCATGAATTTTATGATATTCACCAAAAAGCCGATCAAATAATTTGTCACAACTTTTATCAAGAATTTTGGTCTATTTTTTACAGTCATTTCGCATCATATAAAATATGTGTTTATTTGTGTAACATTTAAGTCGGCAATCAAACAATTATTTATATTATTAAAACATTTTATCAGTATAATAATAATACTGTATTATAATACTATTATTATATTATTTACATAATTCTTGCATAAGAAATGAATTCTCAGAATATTTATAAAAATAACTCATTTATTAATTTTTTATTTGGATTTATGTGCAATAAGTTTAATAACAATTTTAGACATTTAAAAATAATATATGACTAATGATCAGGGAAATATTTACGATATATTATTATTTACTGTAAAACTTCATTAGAATATGTAAAATTGTGAATATCCGGGGATAAAAAACCAGAAAAATTTTTTATCTGAAAAACAGAGGTTTACAATATAATCGAATTTCAATTATTTGTCTTTCAGATTATTTTTGAAGATGAAAACAGGGCCTAAAGTTATTTGTCCAATACTTAATTAGTATTTATGAGTATTTTTTGCTATTTATAGTGTAATGATAATAAAATTGTTCCCGATTACATACAAACATAGGTCTTATGATTTATAATTCGTTTACATTATTGTTTAAACAAAATATAATATAATTTATGTGTTAAGTCATGTAATTGTTGTAATTGTACTGAATATCATTGCCATACAAGTTATGGGGATTAGTTGTGGGGATTAATTATCACTCCTTTCCCTAATCCCGATGCAATGTTCAACAGCTTTGTTCTATAGTTTTATTTTTTATACATTAATACCCTTAACAGATGTGTAGACAATGAGGTGTTTCTCGACACATTAAGTGCTTTTTGTCTCCAAAGTCATTGAATTACAAAATTCTTTGATTATAATTATGAAGTATTCAAGTATTTTAAAGAACTTAGAAATTCAATACTTTTATATGTTGAGATATAGAATATAACATTAATATAATATATTGTAGTTATACTGTAGTACTTTATACAGTATGGTACAATGAAAAACAATAGCAAACAATGAAAATACATTATTTTCTAGACAAATAAACATGTGAAGGGTTAAAAATAATTTATTTCACAAGTCATTGTAAAAGCTTTAAGAGTATAAAAATTCATTTTTTTATATGAAATTCAAGCCTACACACAATTTATTCAAACTTTTATTACATGAAACCGATTTGTATGTTTATCATAAACATTATTTTAACTAAAAAAGTGAGAGTGAAATGAATATTGAGTGCAAAATTCCCCTTTAAATTGTTGAATGCATTCAATGACTTGCTTTCAATGATCGCTTAAACTCTTTGCCTAATAATTGTTATTATTATGAGTTTTGGAGTGAAAATCCAATTTTTCAAACACTTTATTATCCAAACAGAAGTGCTCCCTAAACATGCACTCCTTTCATACTGTAAATAATTATTATTAAGTCAATTAAGTTTGTGCTCACAAACTAGACATTTGAGTGTTTGTTTTACTCCAATCGCGAATTCATCTGATCGTTAGCTAACAACTCAAACAAATCGATAGCTTTTTTTCGGACAACTAATTGAAAAATTAGTAAAACATTATATATTTCTGTGAGTAAATCCTAAAGCGTTTGCTTGAATCCAAGGACAACATATTCTCGTCGTTGTCAACACTAATGCCAACTATTTTTTTATCATTTGTTTTTCCACTGCTTTTGCTCGCAATATATCATCAAAAACTATTACACCGTTTCGACAGTAGTTAGCGTTTCAGCGAAATATATACTCAAGACTTGTCTCTCATCTCTTGAAAAGAGTTTCTCAAAAACTAAAAGAGATTATCAATTATCCCGTGAAGACAAGTCAATATAAATTTATTTTCATTTCTAATAAAACACTTTTTGTGCGCTAAAAAGAGTCGTTGAAAACTCGTAATAATTTTTACCCTTTATTTTTCGGTTGTGTTTGAGTTTGTGTTTGATTTTGTTGGGAAACTATTGGTGAAGAATTAGTCGGAAGTGCTATTCCTTCTCATGGATGAAGAAAACATAAACTGTCAAAACAAGTTCAACTCATCCCACAGTCAAAGTCGTATGTATTTTCTTATACAGTATATGACATCCTATGCTAACCAATTGGGTGACACTTTTTGTGGTAACATTCAAATCAACTGGTGATCCCTTTCCTTAGAGCCCACCTGTTCCTCATTCTGGGATGGGGTGTACTGTTGGCCGCCGACCCCACCCAACACCACCGTTCAGATGCCATGCCGTGACATATTCGCGGTGGCCATCGAACACTTCCAACAATATTCCTCCGAAGACTACATGAAGTACTTCGCGTACCGCAAGTGTTCGGATACATCTGAGTGGGATTGGAACAGTTGGACCAATTACACCGAGTGTCTCACACTCCTGGCACTTCAGGTCAGACATGATATTAATTGTTTGTCAAATCCGTTTCCTCAATGTCTTAAAAAGGAAACAAAACTTTCAGAAAGAATACGAAAAAACTAGAAACTTCTTAAAGCCTTGAATTCATATTAAATAATGAATTTAAATGAATATAAATCTATTATCTCATCGACGATATTATATGATTATATGGCTTATGTATTGATTAGGGTTTTATAAGAAAAGTTCGTCAATATATTTTGAATATAAAGGAAAAACAATTTCACAATTATTTTAAGAATCGATTGCTCTTTCAAATGTAAATTCATTAGATCCTAATGATTAGAATTTTAGTATTCATTACATTTCCATATTTATTAAATTTTTACCTCAAACTACTTACTACTGTAGTATATATAGTATGATATAACGAATAATTATATAATTCATAGATTATTATAGGAACAGGCTGAAAATTTGTAAAAATTGCTTTTATTTCATAACAGTTTTAGTTTCAATTATAGTTACTATTTTCGGCATTCATCTGAAAATTTTGAAAATTATATTTATTTTAACATTAAATTAAAGGTTTTTCCAAAAAATAATTTTACAGTTGTTTATTAATTATAGTATTTATTTGTTTATTGATGTATAAACAATAAAAACATGTTTTGCTTGGAATTGTGTGAATTTTTAAAGCTATTGAACACTTGTATACTAATAAAGACATTGAGAATCTCACATTCATTACAAATGTGTTATATTTTTCATATGAAAGCAAATTAATTTTCAATCAAAATTCAAGATCATTGACAGACAGCCTTTAATGCCTTTTGAAAATGTTTTAGGAGTTCATTAATTCTAGAAAAAAGTATAGACTATAATATTTTTATATTAATTATCTACTCATTAATGAAATTCAATGTTTGGTTTTAATTAATTTCAATAATTTTCCAAAAATAATTTTATTGTCATATAAAAGCAAATCATTTCCAAATTTAATTAATTAATAGGTGATTATAAATAGTATTTTATTGACTGAAGATATCTATTGAGTGCGCAATCTTTGGATACAAAATGCTTTGAAATTAATTAAAAATAATTAAATAATTGCTTAAATTTATGACTCAACATTAAAAGACAGTAAGAGTTTTTTGTGCGGGAATGGCATGATATGACAGGAATTATCAGTACTTTTTTCTAAGATTAGAAATTAATTATTTATATTAATTATAAATATTCATAAATCAGAGTCTAAACAGTACTTTGTTTAGTGATATTCCCTATGAATTACTGAATCACTCGCTGTTTGTGAGAATTAAAGTAATTGTAAATAATTTAGTTATCAATTAATCACAGAATTTTGTAACAATTATATTAAAAGTACAAGTCTTTCGTAATTAATTGAATAATCACTTATTTTGGCTTTGCAATGCTTACTGTACTTTGTATATCTATTAATTAGTTTATTATTATTGTATAAATGAAAATATACCAAAAATAAAATTTTATGAAAAATATTTACAATTTCTCAATAAAAAGCAAAATGTCAAACTAATATAAAGTCTAAATTCATAGCATTTACGTAAACAACTTCACTGTTACAAACAATATAATCAATTCTTATATCATATTACGTTTAAATCTATAACTTACTTTTAACACATTTTTCGCAACATTAATTTTTCAAGTTTATACCCCAAACACAAAACTAAAAAATCCTAACCAGATTACATGGAAAAGGCATTGTGTGGCAAATTGTTTAATTGTATGTATGATTGGATTATAGGACGAGAATATATCGCGACTGTCGACCATAAAGCAAGTGCTCAACTATATTGTGCTGACCTGTTCTCTCTGTTCATTAGTGGCTCTCGTGGTCGCGCTCATCATATTTATGTGTTTCAAGTAATCTATTCATATAACTTAGCAATTACATTTCATCACCTAATCACTACTAATCGTAATGAACGCACAGATCCATACAATGCACTCGTATTCGTGTCCATAAGAACCTATGTATTGCACTACTGATGAACTGTAGTCTACTAATCATAATGTCGTCGCCCGTAGTGGTCGATAACGGATCGTTGCCGCAAATCGTGAGTAAAAGTATAGATGTATTTCATATTTAAAAATTCTTTCGACTGTTAAGAGAGTATTTGATATTGAATTGAATTGCGAGAAATTCAAAGGAAATGTTTTGTTTATGTAAAAGTCTAATAATAGTATCCATCCATCAAATGACTTAAACTTGACCTATCATTCAATGTAGTGATCATTGATTTCAAATCATTGCATTCATTCATCATTTTCTAATATTATTTACATTTAGAGCATTTAATAGTAAATAAATTAATTATAATAACAATAAATCACATAATATATTAAACACAAAAACATAATTGTTATTAAACACTGTAGCTATTCAGTACCTGTAGATCGCATAACAATTTAATGGCCCTTATTTCAAATGTAAGGCATTAGGAAAATATTATTACTCCAAAAGTTATGAAATATTTTCTCTTTTACGCTATTTTTGGGATTGATTTAAATATTTATTTAAAAGTTGTGTGTTTTGTATCTTTGCGTGAAGTCTTCAAAATATCTGTCATTCATAAGCCGCAGGACTTTATGAAAATGTAAACCCTATTCACTATTCATTTCATTTCAATGATTACTCTTTCCATATACTGTAGAAAGCTTTTAGAAGTTCATTAAGAGAGCTCTTTAGATCACAAATTGTTTTAAATATTATTTTACTAATCGTTTAAAATATTTTTATAAAACTATATTTTTCTTTAGTTATAAAATGAATAAAACCCTTATCAAAAATACAATTACATAAACTTATTTAAAACCCATTTTCAATATCAATGTTTATGCTTTGTTTATATAGTTTTTTGTAAACAACAATTTTACCCTTTTTGAAAATTCTGTGTTAAATTAATACTAAACACATTTCGCATCTCTGATTACATAATATGTCAAGTAATTTAACGATAAATTCCTAGACTATACGTCTACATAAGCCACAAAATATTCAAACTAAAAATTATCAGTAAATTCTATCATATCAATACTTTTGTTAAACAATTTGGTTGTTTCCAACTACTGTACTACTAAATTAATTTACTAACACATACTGTACTATTTACTAATTTTTACAACTCAATAAATAGTTTAACTCACTTGTCAGCTAAACACAGATACAATTTAGAATCTAGTTTAATTTTTAAAATAATCACTTCGTTCACATAAAATACAGTTTAATATGACTAGAGATTTACTCCATTATAAAAAATATGATTAGCTAACTAATTAGCCTGATATTAGAATTACTGAATTATTATAAACGGAATATTCTGTAGGACTGGCTCTGTAAATGCCTGAAAGCTATGAATATCTACTCATTAATGGCTACGATATTCTGGATGTTTATCGAAGGACTACTACTTCACACCCGTCTCTATTCATTCAAAAGCAATACCAACCCTTCGTTCATAATATACTATTTAATCGGTTGGATATTTCCAGCCCTATGTGTGTTCGTCTGGTCACTGGTATTAGAGTTCGGACTCGATTTCGAGTCTAATCAGTGTTGGCAGGGATACGGAAAAAGCAAAACCATTTTCATAGTAACCGGTCCCATGTTAGCCCTGTTGGCCATAAACACGGGTTTCCTCATCAATATAATTCGCATTCTGTTTGTGAAACTAAAACACGACAACAATAGGGATAAGTTGACCGCAAAGACCATCAAAGCTACCGCACTATTGATCCCTTTATTAGGTTTGAAATTTGATTGACAAAACACAAACCAATTATACCATAAAACTAATACTTATTACCCCAATAGGAATCCAACACTTATTATTCTGCATCAACCCGTCCACATTCAACTTATATTTGGAAAGTTTTTACATAATTATAAACGGATTAATACAATCAATACAAGGCATTACTGTCTCCATACTATACTGCTTCACTAATAATGAGGTTTGTATGAATACAGTGAGTTTGATATATTAATTATGAATCTTGTATTGAATGTGATATACAGGTGCGAACAGCGCTGAACAGCGCCTGGTCTCGACGTAAGATCAGCCACAGCTTCGGTCTCTATCACAGCAGCAAAAAGCGTCGACAGAGCAGCGCCTCATCCACTTCCGTCACTTTGGCCAACAACAAGATCTCGTGTCCCTTATTCTATAGCCCACCCGTCCAGTAGTTCACTCCACTATACCCTGTATACTATGTATAGATTACAGTATGAACCGATACAACCCTTTCCATGTGACTCTCAATCGTAAATCCAATCTCACATTTCATAGACACAATTTAGGCCATGAATTCTGTGATAGTAATTATTTATGGGAAACTGTATGGCATAATTGAATGAACAAAAAAATATATATATGACCCGTACAATTATTTTGGTGACACAGCATACTTTGAAATTACTTCGCGATGAGAAACGCTAACTTTTATCATAAGAATTCTTATTAAAACATTTAAATTATTAATTAAATCATAAATACATATCTAAGTGCAAGAATATATCACACCATTTGTGTACCGGAAGAATGTAAATCAAAATTAGACTTAATGTTGAGATACTCTAATAATATTTTATAACTCATTTACTCTTACTATTGAAACATAATATTAAATACAAGTTTTCCAATCAAAATGTTGGCATTATATTCACATGTTTAGTCTTCGCATGTAATTTCATTAATGTTTATTTAAAATCTATTTAATTTCTTTTATAAATAAATTACTTTTGGTTTAAAATTAATTGTACCCTTTCCCTCTCTACATTTGTGGGTAACGCCTAATTAGTTAGAGATATTAGAGTTACAGTAACTCCAATAAAATGCTTCATAAAATAAAAAGATGATAAACACTTAATAAATACTTTATACAATTAAAGTGAAAACAGATTTGGAAATTAAAAACTTATTTTAATACTGTATTTAAATTCATAGTATTTGCAAAATTGGTTCTCAATTACCCATAAAGTAAGAAAATATCAAAATTAGCAGAAATTTAATATTTATGCCAGAAATAAATTTCCGATCAAAAAAAGTTTATTAAACTTGTGTTTCACATCTGGTTTTACTTATCATTTGAAAGAATTTGTTCAATTATAAAACTTTTTATGAATTGCATTTATAGAGAGCATGTTATAGCGTATGTGACACTCAATTATGAGCCTTATTACAGGCTAATGAAGCGATGATTAGATTTGGTTCAAAATTGTCGCTTCTTTTTGCTTATCTCCACAATAGATAATCAATTCAAATGAGTTTCACTCAAAAAATGTATCACTTTCTTGACTCCAGTTTGACATTTACATTCATTAGCGTCCGTACATTACGTTACCAATAACACAGAGGTATACAATAAGGGGATATACTGTAATACACGGTTATTGTTTACGTTTATTACAAAACGTGTGTACATTGACATGAGGGGCAAATACTACACAAATAAATAGTAACATAATATATGAGTGTCTGAATGTGCTATCATATCAAAACAATAGACAATCTCATGATTCAAATGAAATAGCATTTAAAGAGTGTTTCAAATCAATTGAATAACACATTTGGTGTGTGTTTAGTGTACAACACGTTTGCAGCCAACACTTCATTTCACCACAAACTGTGTCCACAACACTGTCACCGCTGCGGCAGACAATGGCAGATCTGAAGACATATAAATTCACGGTTGAGATGACGTGCGAGGGATGTGTGAACGCCGTGAAGAGGTGTCTGACGAAGGCGTTTGGCGATAGGCTGTCGTCGGTGGACACGGATCTGAGCAGCAAATCGGTGGTTGTGGTGATCGACAACTCCGCTCATCACTACTCCCACGACGACGTGTTTGAGGCCATCAAGAAGTGCGGCAAAGAGGTCCACAAAGTGGACTAAATATCGTAGACTTTATTGTATTTACACTTTGAATTGAAACTCCCATTAATACTATAATTATATTTAATTGTCAAACACTTTATGATATCTTTAATTATAATTTATTTTATATCCAACTAATTATTATTAGTTAACATTTGAGTCAAATGTGAGATAACGAAGTAATTATCAAATTTCATGAAAGGGTTTGTTTCAAACAAACTACAAGTGATTGTATTTTTGCAAATATCTTATGTTTTATATTTATTTTTAATAAATTTCAAATTTAATTTATAGTTACAGTCAAATAATTATTTCAAGTTTTAATTTTCAATTAAATTATCTTATAATAATCATGATTTTTAAGTTTATCATTTCATATCATGTTTGAACATTTATTATATAATTACTGTATTGAAAAAAAATTGCAAAACTTTTCACTCAATATTCAAAAGCGTATTTAAATTCACGTAATTATATCCAAGAATAATAGCATTAGATTTCGTTTTTGGGTGCCGTCTCATTCTGCACCGGTATCTCTTTGGGTTGAGGTATGAGTGACTCCGCAGCCATAGTGATGGGAACATTACGTTCGCCTTCCTTGAGCTCCGGCTGTTTTTTCGGCGCCTTTCGAGTAAAATATTAATGATTTATTTAATTTAGAAACAATAATTAACTTATAAATGAATAAACCAATGGTTGTGCGACATGTAAGGGCACACAGACCTGAACAGTGAGTATGCCTTCGGGACTGAGTGATGAGGTGACGGCCAGGGGGTCGACATCTGCGGGCAATAAATACTTTCTCGAGAATTGTCTCGAAATGAAGCCAAAGTCGTCGGCGCGGTCTTCGTGTTTGGCGGTGACAACGATGCTGTTGTCCACTGTCTTGACAGTGATTTCTTCGGGCGTGAAGTGCGACACATCGACCATCACTTGAAATTTGTCCGATTGGACCAACTCTTGCGACTGCGGGACAACACTTCGCACACCCGGACTCACGCCTCCACTCAATTGGCGACTAATTTAGATAATAATTGTGAATATTATTTGATTAGTGAGTCAATCGATAGGAACCTGAATGGTCTTCGGCGGACATAATAGCTGGGAGTGACGGCCATCGGCGCGAAGAAGTCATCGTCAGTGAGTGTGGAGCCGAAGTGGGACTCGAAGATGCGGTTTGTGTCCCAATCCAACCACCGATCCGGTCGATTGAAGAACGGCATAATATTTCGTGACATTCCTATTGATTCGCAATTTGCTGTCTACTTATATCTTGACGGGATTTTTAACACTTTTGTAATCCTTATTATCCTTTTATAGAGAGTTATGTCATTCAAGACACTAAAAGATGAGCTAAACTTTGCAATAAAATTCAACTAATCCAAGGGCTAAACCGGGGGTAAATCCATGTTTAAAAAGTAGTTATAAAACAATTTATATAAAATATTCAATTGAAAATTCAAACATTAGCATATAAATTTAATTCCTGTATTACTTTCATTTTTAATCGGGTTTAACTAATATTGCATTTGATTGACATAAAAATATTTATTAAATTAATGCAAAGGGGTTTAGAAAAAGTGCCCACACTTTGGCCTAAACTTAGGCATCACTTAACTTATGCGCTGTTTTGCAGAATATTTTTGTAAATAATAATTTGTTTCTCAAAGTTCTCAAAATAGACTTAACAGACAGTGACCCAAATCACTGCAAAATATATTATCCCAATGATTAGTTTTTAGATATAGTGTAAAAAGTGAAGTCTATCAGTTTTATTAATACTTCTTCAAAAATATTTTAAATTTACATTTATTTACAACAAAATCTATAATTAGTTGACATAAAGTTCTTAAATATAAAATATTTGTATAAATTTTTGTTGTAATAAGAAGTTTAAGCGATTATATACAGCGAATTAAATACCTGACTAAACTGTATTCAAACTAGTTTGTGATGTGTATTGTAATGTATGTTTGTTATCATTATGTTTTTAATTATACATTCACATTTTGTGAATATAGTTAATTTAAATATAAAACCAAAAAAATAAAATGATTTAATCGATTCATTTAAATACAGAGACTCTCATGTCTCCGAAATCCATGTTAATGTAAAATATGGACGATTTTCGGTGATTGTCGACAGACATCATATTCTTATGGCCCACCACTGAGTGCCAGTGCGGGCCATACCTATCATTGATCACTTCACTCAACTGATCGCTTAACTCAACCATAGATTTGGCATTTCTTACTACTTTTGTCGACAACTTCTGTATTTCTTGCTTCATATCAGTGCTCATTAATGAGTCGATAATTTTTGGCGACAACTTCTGCGCCGCTTTCATCAGATTACTGGATCTCTCGATGAATTCGTTGCCATTCATGGAGCCGAACACAGACACCAATACATCGTTATTATTGAACATATTATTGACACCCAATTGCATGACAACAGATCCGGGGATTTTGTTGAGAGACTGATCCATGAATGGAGTCGAAGACAGGATAACATTACTTCTTAGGCCTAACTCTCGCTCCAATTCCTTACGAATACAGTCCACCAAATCGGACGACTTATTCGTGTTTTGTATGATATCTGTCACTATCTCTACGGCTTTGTCACGCTCTTCACCACTCAATCCTTTCAATTTAATTCAGACATTTGATTATTAAAATTGATATTCAAGTGGTATTATATTATAATTTATAATCTTTTTATTTATTAATTAACTCAGTTTTAAGTTAAATTTAATTTTCATAAAGTAATTCTAAGAATGCATTCTACAGTACATTGTATATAATTGACATTTAATTTATATTATCTTCAGTAATAGCTTAGTTTTGTTAGAAACTATTTTAGATAAAATTAAAAGTTGTTTCAAAAATAAAACAACTTAAAGGCTTGTAGACAGTAAGATTTTATTAGACATTTGATAATTTAATCTTAACAAAATACTATTAATAAAGATATTATAATGTAGTACTGTATAATTTACATTATTCTTGTATGAGATTGATATAGTTTTATCAAAATATAGGCACGAATTAATTAATTTCTAATCAAATCACAAGTCAGTGTATAAAATGAAACATATAAGGAATACAATAATAATATTAAACCAAGTTAATAATAATAACAACAACATTTTTAATAGGAACACTGTACGGTAGACTATTTCCTTTTGATTATTTAAAACCTATCTATCATTAACTATTTGAAAAGTATTTATTATTAATTCTAATACAATAATTACATTATTGGTTTCATATTAAATCTCCTTTATACAACTTGTGCTAATGGATAAATAATTTATATTTCATGTCATAAACAAATTAATTTTATTAATAGATTGTATGATTAAGTAATTGTAAACTATATTAAATAGTCAATTCTCATGTAAACTATTATTATTCAAATCAAATGATAAGTGTCTTTCAATACAATAAACATTTAAAGTTTGTTTATAAATGAAGTTAACATTCAGATTCAAGCGATAAACTTTCAGTTTCTTTATTGATATCAGTAAACGTCTCGTAAAAACATTTGAATGAATTAATTAAAAGATAGGTTAAATTATATCTGCAAATGTGACCGACTTTTATTGAGATGAGACTTAATTTCACAATTAATCAAATTCAGTCACACAATTCATATGCACTGAACTCTTATATAATTTGGTGAAAGTTTTTAATATAAAAATTGTTACATTTTATATTTCCTTTTAATGGGTCACCAATTAATTACTCACAAACAAAAGTATTATAAGAAATCGATCCATTTATTGGAAATAATTTAAAAATTTAAATTGTAGATCTTATTTTAGAAATTATTTTAAAATTCATATAAATCTATTTACATGTATTAGCAATTCATTAATATATTTGCATTTTATTTTTAATATTAAACTTCCTTTAAGTTTAAAATAAAACTTTTTTGAATAAATAAACAAAAATCACTAAAAGTGTTAAAATTACATACCATTAGAGAAATTGATGGTAGGCTTCGACGGGACAGTTGTCTGTTTAGCGCTTTTCTTCGAGAGTTTATTTTTAGGTAACTTTTGTTTCGAAGACAACACCGACTTCTTGATAGCCTTTTGACTTTTAATCAATTTCTTGGGCGTTGTGTTGGACAGTAAACCCCTGGTTGTGGTCGCGTTAATCAACTTCTCTGCCGAAGAGTTTCTTTTCTTAACCTTTTGGGTGGAATTCAACTTCTTTTTAGACTTCTCTTTGCTTTCGACACACAAAACACAAAACAAAACTACAATTACTATAATAAACAAACTCTTGCTATTGAACCACATTTTTGAAACAGAGTTTTTATATTTAGTTACATATATCTTACGAACAAAATATAATTAAATAATGAATTAAGACATTGAGTATTGAGTTGATGGCGAGGCTGTTGTACTCTCGTTGACGCCGATTCAGGACTGACTGACTGTTTTACTCTCACTTTACTTTCACAGTTAGACTACGAGTGCGAAAAATACAGTCCTATTCACAGGAGTCAGTCGTCTTTCCCGTTAGCCGTTATGATAGCCTTCGGGTGTTTCTAAAGTTAGCCCACAAATGGATTGAAAGTACTTTTTGTGTGTTTCTTGTGACTCGTTTTACATGATTTGAAACGTCTATTGAATGTACGGCTTAAATGAATTGAATAAAAACTAAAATATTACGAAAATTGTTTTTTGGGTCACAATTGGGAAACTAGTTTTTTGCTCTTTCATCGACTCTTTTACACTCATCTCTCAATATAAATCTATATTAATCTCTCATTACATAACATTTTGTATACAATTCATAATTTTTATTTATTGTAGATATTTGTGAACATAATTCAGCAGTATTTGTGCTGTACAGTACTTTTATTTAGTCGATAGATAATTGTCAGTCAAAAGTTTGACGAGTAATGTTAAGAAATTAAATATTTATCTGTTTGCTTGACACATATTTTGATAACTAAATAAAAGTACAATTTTGTCCGACAATATAGTCTTGTGGTCACTGACAAGAGTGAATTTAATTTAAAACTTAAAATATTTTTCAACAACTCCTTTATATTCTGTGAGAAATTAATTTCCTTTACAATTTTGAAAAGATTATAAAAATACACACAAAAAGTAAACAATTTTATAGTTTTATTTTATTCATTTCCAAATTCTTGTAGTTGTTTAGCAATAATAATGTTCTATAAAAGAGACTAATCTTTCTATAATAAAATAATATATTTGTTGTATTCTTAGCCATAATAAAAATTTCATCCTTATTTAGAAAGTAATTTATTTTTAATAATCTCTTTTTGAAAGTGGTTTTGATGTTTAAAAATTCAAAACTTCTTTTTATTAAATATAATTTACAATACAATATGATTTATAATTAAAATATCATTCATTGTATGTTATAATGATTATTGAATATTATTAACATTATAATATAATAAATTTTATAAAATTACATAAATTGCTTATAATCGGCAAGATTAATGACCCAAAACTTTTAGAAATTCAAATAATTGCTTAATTTTTCGGTCAAATTATTGAAATCAATTGTAAATTAAATAAATATAAGACACATATTGAATAAAACAATTAAATTATATACTTTTCAGGAATTAAGTGAATTATTAAATTTTATGCTGATTAAACTTTTTGTTATTTAATCCATTATAAAAACTATTCAACGATTGTGTAATATTTTTTGTTACAACTTTTGTTAATTATTTATTTGTAAATTTACAATAAAAAGGATTATTTAATAAGTGTGGATGGTAAATCACCACTGGGATCAATTGGTATTGCCTCTAACAACTTTTATCAAACAAATCTTGACTATTGCTTAATTTAACACACATTAAACTCCTTGTATTTTAAGACTTAATTATACAATATTAAATTTTTTGTATAATTTAAAATCAATCACTATTATAATTTATATTATCGTAACAGTAATACTGTAGACTTCTGGCCATAAGTTTATAAATAACATTATTTTTATTTTTATTTTAAAATTAAAAATACTAAATCAAGTTTATTGATTGAATAAAATCTAAATTCATTTTCTTAATAAAACTACTGTATATTTTTATACAGTACTAACAAATAAATTAATACAGAGTAATAACAAATTAGTTTATTTTCACATTTTAACAAATTATTATATTAGTTTCTTAAATTAATTTATATTTTTCAATTAAATTTTACATTGGTTATTATTCAATAATCAATAGTAAATTCTAATTCTTATAATTCGTAAATATTGGATTTTATATTTTATAAAATAACTAAATTTTTAATGAAGAATATAAGCGATTCTTAATAAATTATTGTTACTGAAGTGGACTACTACTGTATATGGTATTAATAATGGACGAGTAAAACAATATCATAATATACGATATTATAATAGTGATTAAAAAGTTGTCTTAAAGTGGGACCGGAAGTAAATGTAATGATTCATTTAGTTATGTCTATCCATAAGTAATCCATAAGTTATTAAATAGGCTTTTCGCTCTAATATTTAACTTTTCATTCATTGTACACAACTACAGGAAATGAGTGTAAGATACTGTAGTTTTAGTTGTAAAATCACGTGTAATGTGAATCCTTTGAGAAAACTTTTATTTAAACTTTGAAAGCATTTGATTTTCACAAGCATTGAGAATAAGTCACACTTTTGTTCAATTATTTTAGGTTTACTGTTAAGAGTCTTAACTTAAGACTAACAGTAAATGATTTTTAAATGATTTTTATTTATATTTGATTAACTTATCATAATTAAAGTAATCATGTTTTTAATTAAAGTATTAGTCTTAGCGATGAATGCATTGATAGTTGTATCACAACTTTGCCCAACAAATGACTTAAATAATTATGTTTTAAATGAAGAGATCACTCGAGACTCAGAAACCAATTCAAATGACCCGTCATTTGATAACACGGTTTGGTTTATATCCAATGGATATAAACATTCAGACAATTGGCAAAACTATCACAAAAATATCAATAAAAATGCTGTCAATAAGAGACATAAGAGACAAACTGTGGGCAAAAGAAATGGCATTAAAATAAGCCATAAGTCCATCACTTCAAAGACAATTCAAACAACTACTGAAAAACCCTCAAACCTTCTCGAGAGAGATATCTATTGCCTAATCTTCAGACTAGATCTGGTGATTGGCATCAACTACTGGGACATCGATAACAGGCTCAGAGAAGCCAGGATACGGTTCCCGCACAACACCACTGTTTCACACTCTAAGACAGTGTGTAAGACATTACTCAATGAAATGTCTTTCGGATTCAGTGGAATCACTCTAAAACTACTTCTGACGGCCTATAAGCGCAACAACGACCAACTGTTGGAGATTCAACTCTTACTCAATCCATACGCCATGAAACAGATACCAGAACTCAAAGACTTTCACCGATTTGATGACCGGCGAAGAGGTTTCCCTGACTTTGATCCCTGCTTTCGGTTGGCAGTCTTCTCGCGAAGTCGTGCCCTTTGGTGTCCACTAAAGCAGATGTTTGAGTACCTCAATGATGACAGGGAAGTGTCGGTGTATCTGGAGATCCAGGAGTTATATGTCGAGTCATTTCGCGCTTCCAATACAACGGATCCAATGAATCTCGTGGAGGATTGCAGAACACAAGTGTCTCATCAGTTGCCACATCTGTCGCGTCGAGTGGTGGCCAAGAAGTTGCCGAAGAAGGAGAAGTTGACGTCGAAGTACGTGTCCATCAGAGACGGCGATGTCCTCATGTATGTCTTCATCTCAATCTCGTGTTTGTTATTTATATTTGCAATCATTTCTGTATT